TTGAACAACCTATGGTTTTCTTAAGATTTCGCAAGAGCTCGCGCGCAAGCTTTTTAGCAAATCTGTGTTGCGAAACTCTGTGTTTTTGCATGTTTTTGGAAATTCGATTGCGAATTTCTTCCGACACGGAAGGTTTTTAGAGGATTTCGGCATGCGCGCGCGACGGCGCGCGCGTGCGCATGTCGTCTAATGTTTTGCAAGGGATTCGCGAAAAAGTCTTATGTTAGATCCAAAGATGTCCCCGCGTTTTTTTTTTTTTTTTTTTTTTTTTTTTTTTTTGTTTCACAATGGAACCTCAGGGGGGTCGATACTGGTTCCCCTGGGATAATGTAAATTCATAGTTAGGATGGACATGTGGTCAGAATCATATTTGATTTACATACCCGAAAGGGGGGCGGATAACGCCAGGGGGGGGGTAGAGTTTATTCTTTTCTTAGAACGGAGAATCTATGTGGTGCAATATTTGTTGTTCAAGTTATGTGGGGCGGCGACTGGGCGGCAACAGCGGCAACAAGTGCGGCGACCGACAGGCAGGCCCAGACGACGGCTGGTGCCGAGGAGGCGACGGGGGCAACATAGCCAGCCAGATTGACAGACAGGCCAAGACGACGGGCGGAGACGAGGCGGCGACGCAGCGGCGACGGCGGCAACATAGCCGCCAGACCGGCATTCAGGCCCAGACGACGGGCCGCGACGAGGCGGCGACGGAGCGGCGACGGCGACAACATAGTTGCCAGATCGACAGGCAGGCCCAGGGCTCTCGGCACAAGTCGCACTCCCACCTCCGACGCCGTCGAGCCATTTGTTGTCAAGTCTTAGTTGAGGAGGTGGCAGCTCTAGGACGAGAACCAGGACGACGATGATGTTGATGGTGATGATTTTGATGATGTTGGTGGTGATGCTGATGATTGTGATATTGATGGTGACGGTGATGAAGATGATGCTGACGATGATGTTGATGATGGTGTTGTTCGTGATGATGTTCATCATCCTACGTGCCACGGTAATGATGGTGATGTTGATGTTGGTGATAATGATAATGCCGATCACGATGGTCATGATGGTCATGATGTTTTTGATGAAGAAGATGATGGCACGGATTCCAATGATGCTACCGATTATGTTGATGATGATGATGGTGATGGTGATGATGATGATGATGATGATGCTAATGTTGTTGATGATGATGCTAGTGTGGATGATGATGCTGCAGATGAATATTAATCTTACTCTGAAGATGGTGATGGTGATGAGGATATTGATGATGATGCCGATGATGATGATGGTCATAATCATGATCATGTTGACTATGATTATTTGCTCATGATAGTGAGGGGGAACGAGGGAAAGGAGGAGGAGGAGGAGGAAAAGGAAATGGTGAAGTGAGATCGAGAGTAAGCTTTCTGGAGCTTGAACCGATACCCTCCCCTTTAGTAGAGGTGCTGCATGCAGCCCTTTGCCCGTCCCGATCCCTTTCTCCTCCCTTTTCAGCTGCCGTCCCGCTCCGGGCGTCGGCTCCAGGATAGCCCCACACCGGCCTCCGAGATTCGGAGGCCGACGACGACGAGGACACGAGCCCGAGGAGAGGAACGGAGCAGCGTGGCACGCGCGCTCTCTCGTGCCAGGAGCAGGGGATGTCAAGCACCTGTTCTTGCGCACCCCACCCGCCAAAAAGCCCCCAAGGTGGACGACCTGGGAGAGCAACGGCAGCAGGGGGCAGCGGAGGGCACGACACCCGGGGACCAGGACGAGCCTTGAGCCGGGGGAGGGAGGAGAGCGAGCGACAGGGAAGGACAGCCGCGAGGAGGGGATGAGGCCGAAGACCGGGCGACAGCCAAACTGAGCGGGAGGGGGAGCAGGCAGAGGACCGACGCCGGACGGCGGAAGAGGGGCCGACGGCGCCACCCAGAGTTGAGCCGACCGTCGGGCTTCTACAGCACATCCCCTAGAGCACATCACAAACATCGCACATGAAGATCCCCGTTCCCCCTTGACCGCCTCTCACGCACATCCTCCCTGCACTCTTCCCCGTCCCCCTTGGCCCCCCTTCCAGTCCCTCCTCCCATCTCAGGGCCCTCAAAGGTCGACGAGGTGTGTGGCTCCTGGGCTTCTTTGCTGTATGTGCCTGCTGCACTTCTGAGGCTCACGTGCTTGTGCATGTCTGCCCCTCCACAGGCGATGCCGATCCCTCCCTTTCGCCTTCGGCTCTCGGGCGTTAGTCGGGTTCCGCGCGGAGCGCTCGAATCGTAGACCCGACTTGTGCACGGCTTACTAAAGTTACTTACGTGGTGCCCCTTCGATAGCATAAGCGATGCCCATATACACTTTAGAAGTATGTGAAAGTGTTTTGCCCGAAGTATTGTAAGGCCACTCCTCCAAATCGCTCTACTCTTCCCCTCCAACCATCATCTGCCCCTCCTCTCCTTCCAATGGACCATCTTATGGTGCAAACCATAGATGGCGGAACCAGTGGCGCAACCCATGGCCCAACCCATGGATGGGCGCGACCATGGCCTGGCCTCGGATGAGGCGGCCTTAGCTACGGGAGAGTAGGTGGAGGAACAGATGGGGGAGGAAAGGGAAGGGAAAGAGTAGGACGACGACGATGCCGACGCTGAGGAGTATGCCGACGGGGCCCACAGCGGCTGACTCTCGCAATGTGTATGAGGTTACGCCCAGTTCAAGCCCGCCGTTTGGGCTGGTGGTGGGCCGAAGGCCGAAGCGATGAGTTGTCTTGTGGTCCTCGCTGCCCGCCCCCATGCTATCTTTTATCCGCCGCTACCACCTCCTCATCCCACTCCCCTCACAATTTCGGTCTTCCCTCCATCCCTTCTCACTTCTCTTCACTCCGCCCATTCCCCCCTTCCCTCTTTCCCTGCCCCGTTCCTCCATTCTCATCTCCCCCCCCTCCCTCCCTTCTTGTCCCCCGTCCCTTCCCATCCTTCTTTCCTCACTCTTCTCTCCAAACCCCCTCTCCCTCCCGATGATCTCCCTCATTCCCCTTTCCCTCCCTCATTCCCCTTTTCCTCCCCTCTCTCCCTTTTCCCCCCTCTCCCTCCCTCCGTCGGCCTCCTCCCCCCTCCTCCTACTGCTCCGAAGCTAAGCTCGCCTCCTCCGAGGCAATTCTGATCATCACTGTGCCGACACAAAGCATGTTGAGCAATGGGTTGGCTCATCCACGGATTGCGCCGGCGCCATGGGTTGCACTATAGGTGGCGCCATTGGTTGCGCCAGACATGGGTTGGCGCCATGGGTTGTGTTATCCATTTGTTGTGCCATAGGTTGCGCCATCCGTAGGTTACGCCATTCAGGGGTTGCGCCATAGGTTGCCCCATTCACGGATTTCGTCATAGGTTGCGCCAGCGATGGCACCATCCATGTTGTACAATCCATGGCCCCACAGGTTGCACCATGTGTTGCGCTTTCGGCGGCCGAACATGTACGGCTCGCCAACGGGTGCGACCAGCCAGCCAGCGCACATCAACAACAACAAAGTCGGGCTACACTTGAAATCATCAGGAGGATGGGGAGCCAAACAGGGACTCGAGACTGAGCGGGATCGGGTCAGGAATATGGATTTGGAGGGAAGGTGAGACCTGTCAAATTGCATCGTGCGCCCTGACGCGTTTAGGACGCACCCGTCCTACCCCTACGCTACTTGTGTAGATTTACGTGTAGCGTACAAAGTTACTTCTAAGTAGTGCTAAGTAGTGGTGCCATAGTTCGGATACGTAATTTACCCACACTTCTGCGGAGCTTGCCACGCTCGACTAAGTATGAGACATACTTATCACTATCGCAACTGAACTTACACCACACATCGCAACACTTGTAAGCGTTACCTCTATATCTGATACCTTAGGAGATAACACCTTTTTGTAGTTCTATTCTACACAGTTGCACCCAGGTTGCAAGTAACATCAGATACCGCGCCCTCTTAGTGACCAAACTCCGTGCATGCCCATGTGCTACATGCGCCCATGCGCTCGCATGCTCACGCTCCGTGTACTAAATCAGCCGTGTCATGGCAAGCGCAGGCGGGTAGCAGCTCCTTCTCCACCGACGCGGCGCGTCGCGGTCTGCCAGCGCGCGCATTATCTTGGCAGGGGGTGTATGGGCAGGCGTCCCTGCCCGAAACATCTTGTTTGCAGCACAGGCGCTGGCCGAGTCTTTGGCCGATCTTAATGTAATAGAAGATGCCGCGGTCGGTCGTTTGGTGGCGCGCGCCGGCTGCGGCCAGATGCGGGGCCCTGGAGGGTCTCCAGACCCTCGCGCTCCCCGCTCTCACTCCTCCGAGTAGCGTCGGCGTCAAGAATGTGTGCCCGCGCGCACATGCTGGAAGCAAGGGTTATTTTCGCCAGGTGCCCCAGACAAGCCCCTCAGGGCGGGCGTTCTCCAGGGCAAAATCGGCGGTCGCCTCCACTGGCAGTGGGCACCTCGGGATTGACCGGGGGACGGGGTCGAGGAGTGCGAAGGCGCATGTTCGTTCGCAGATACCTGCCCCCCGCGTGGTTCGCAATCGGTCCCCCCCCGCATTGTCTTAGAGTGCCCCTCCTTCCCCCTGTCGCCGGCGCTTCTTTCTATGCACGCCGCTCGCGTGCTCCTGCCGCAGTGGAAACCAAGCTTCTGGGACTCGGGGCACTGTTGCTGAGGGGGAGGGGGAGGGGGAGGAAGAGGAAGAGGAGGAGGAGGAGGAGGAGGAGGAGGAGGAGGAGGAGGAGGAGGACGTGCATGCCCGCTGTGGACTGCCAAGGACAGACAGGGTCTGGCAGAGCCGGGCGTGGGCGCCAGATAGAATCGTGTGCCGCGTGGACCCCCAGTCCTCCAGCTCCCCCCTGGCTAATCCACAAGCCGCCACGTTGTCGCAGGCGACCGCGGACACCTCTTGCGAGAACGTTCCACGGCGCTCCCGCGCCGCACCCACGCCCGCGCCCTCGCTGGGAGCGGCTGCGCGACAGTATCGGGGTGAACGTCTGTCGCCCCCAATTTTCTCGGCTGCCAGATCCCGCTGACAGGGAGCTCGCGGGCGGCGATGGCGCGGCGGTGCATGGTGGTGCGCCCCCGTCGGCCGCCATGGGCATGCCTGCTGGCGCCGCGCCGCGCCGTGCCGCGGGCGACGAGGAGGAGGACCCTGCGCACCAGCAGCTGCAACAACGGGGCAGCGCACAGGTACCGTGGCCGTCTTGGGGCGCCCATGGTGCCCAGAAAGCCTTCGCCACATCTGCCCGGCTAGGGTTAAGTCGGGCCTGTCCCCCCACAGGGGGAGTATTCGAAAATAGTAAAATTAACAAAATAGTCTGGGGACGATTTCTTCTGTACTTTTGAGCATGTCTTGGGTAAAATTTTAATCTTGTTCATTTTCGTCCCAAATCCGCCTGTAGGGGGGCAGGCCCGACCGAAGGCTAGGGGCACCCCCCAGGGCCACGAAGGTCATCTCGAGCTCCGCGCGTCGCGGTCCTGGGCCGGAGAGCGCTGCCGTTCGTCCAGGGGGCCGGCGCGCAGAGGCGCGGAGATGGAGATTCGGAAGGAGATAGACCTCCTGCCCTGACACGTCGATTCGCGAATTGGCCGTTCTCGGTTCGCGAGAGGGCGTCGCGGCTGTCGTTTCTGTGGGTCCCGGTCCGTCGGTTTCGGTCCCAGGCCGTTTTCACTAGAGGGTGGTTTACTAAAGGGAGGTTTGTCCACCGCCGAGAGGTGCTTCGCGCAGCGCGGGGCGCGGTGCGCGAAGTTGGGTTTAAGTCGGGCCTGTCCCCCTACAGGAGGAATATTCAAGGATAGTAATAAAATGGTCTGGGGAGGAATTTTTGATTAGTTGTTTGCATTTTTGGATTATTGCTGGAGTATTTGTTCGTCCAAAGTCCGCCTCTAGGGGAACATGCGCGGCACCTCCCCCGATCCATGGATTTGGCGACCGCGTGCCAAATCCATAGATCGCGTATCCACGTTTGCGCGCCCCCCGAAGTTAGGTTTAAGTCAGGCCTGCGCCTGTCCCTCTACAGGGGGAATATTCAGAAGTAGTCAAAAATAGTACGTGGAGGATTTGTTGATTATTGTTTTGGCATTTTAAACATTATGTTTGGACAACGTTTTAATTTTCGCCCAAAATCCGCCTGTAGGGGGACATGCCCGACCGAAAGTTAGGTGGCACACAGTCAGCCCTGATAGTAAGGATGATCGATTTCCCAAGGGCAACCCTGCATCCTTGCCTCGTCGGTCATCTTCGGTCCGTCCTCAACCGCTTGCGATGGCCAGCTCCGCCCGAAGAGCCTCGGCTGGGGCGCCCGCGGCCCTTGCATCCTTACCGCGCATCCTTGTTATAAGGGAGGCCTGGATTGCAGACGGAGCGCAGCCAGCGGCGGAGGCTCCAAAGGGTGGCGGCCAGCGTGGTCAAACGGCAGATGTGGACCAGGCGGCGTGGGCGCGGCATATCGGCCGGGGGTGGGGTGTCGCAAAGAGGCGAAGAACGGATGGCCGAAGGGATGGAGTGGCGAATGGAGGGAGAGATGTATATAGAATGCAGGAGCGGGAAAATACAGAAAGAGAGGGAGGGAAAGAGAGAGAGAGAGAGAGATACAGACATATTGATTAACAAACGACAGTCAGACAGACAGACAGACAGACAGACAGACAGACAGTATGATAGTGAGAGAGAGGGAGAGATGAAGAGACAGAAAGAGAGAGTTAGAGAGAGAGAGAGAGAGAAAACAAAGAGAGAGGGAATACAAGGAAAGATAGAGAGAGAGAGAGAGAGAGAGAAAGAGACACACACCCAAAAGGACACACACAGTCAACGATGCACGGGTGGAAGAAAGTGGCCGCGAAAGCAGCAGCAGTAGTTGCAGTGTTGATGAGCCTCGCCTGGTGTACGCCGTTGTTCTAATATGTTGCACGAGTCGCTAGTCGTAGTTTCAGTTGTAGATCCCGTTATGTGTTCATGATGTTTCTGTGATGTGATTTGTGTGTCTGTTGGGGGGACGTGAGTCTTGGCCTAGGGTCGCGCTCAAGTAAACTTTTTTTTTTTTGCGCGCGACATTGTGACTCATACGTGGGTTTGGGTGAGGACTGGTACGAAGAAGCATGGCAGTACGCGGTCGTGGAGACGATGATGCTCCTGGTGGGCGAACCCTCTCACCTTTTGAAGCTTTGTGTCCTTCCCTTTCCGCTCCATACGTCAGTTCGTTGATAAGTGTCTTGCGTAAGCGCCACTCCCCTGACCTCCGCGAAATGCAACACTGTGACTTTGTTTTGAGTTCCCCAGGGTAACTGCAGTGATCGTTGCGACTACCGCCATGCCTTCCTTGGCGCAGTGACCAACATTGACACAGGCTCAGCCCGCTTAGAGTTTCGGAGCATTTCCCCTTCTTCTGCTATCCTGGCAGGGGTCCTGACCCTACCAAGCGTAGTTCGCGCCCGAGTTTGGTTAGTAGCAAGCAGACCGTGCAAGGTTTACACATTCCTGTAAATGCCACGACGGTGCATTACCACCTCCTCGACTTCCCCTTGAGGTATCGTCCTCATCGTTTGCCTCTACGTCCTTCTGCCTTCCTTGTCGTTGTCTCACTCTTCACCATTCTTTTATTCTATTCGAAGCCTGCCTAACCAGCTTTGACTAGTGGGAAGTTCATGATAAGTATTATCCTGCGCATCTGCATTCAAGAGCTCTGAGCCCTTTTTCTCCATAGTGGCCGCAGTGCTCTCTGGTGGCCGGGCCGGGGCAGTGGCCGTGGTCGACGGGCCCGTGGCTGTGGCCCTGGACCCCACCACTGTGCCTCCGGACCTCGCCCTGTAGCCCTTTGGATCCTCTCGCGCAGCTGGTGTCCTGGAGCTCGGAGCCCTTCACCTTCGCGGTGGCCGTGGCCCACGGGCCCGTCGCCGTGGTCCTGGCCCCCCCGAGCCGGGCCTCGGCCCTCTCGCACCCTCTGCCCCTTTTGAGCCCTCGCATGCCCGTGGTGGCCGCGGCTGCCGTGGCCGTGGTCAGCGGGCCCGCCGTGGCCGCGGCACCGGGCCCCCCCGAGACTCGCCTCGGCCCTCGCGCCCCCCCCTGCCCCCTCCCCTCCTCCTCCCCTCCTCCCCCTCCTCCTCCCCCTCCTCCTCCTCCTCCTCCTCCTCCTCCTCCTCCTCCTCCTCCTCCTCCTCCTCCTCAGAGCACTGCTCCTCGTGGCCGTGGCCGTGGTCGACGGGCCCGTGGCCCTGGCCCCTGGGCTTCGCCCCAGCACCCGGGGGCCTTCATCCTCGTGGTGGCCGGGGCCGTGGTCGTCGGGCCAGCTGACCCCCGAGCCTCGCCCCGGCCTTCTCGCTCCGCCTGCCTCCAGAGCCTTCGGCCTGGCCCTTCGGCCACGCCCCGGCCCCAGGAGCCGCCAGTGTCTTGCACAGGGCCTTGTTCCAGAGCTCGGAACCCTTTCTCTTCACTCGCTCGTTCGTCCTTCGTTGTCGTCGTTCGTCTGCAGCCCCTCCCGCCCCTAGTCCCCGGCCGCTCCCGCCGGCCCTGGGACCCTCCTGCCCCCTGGCCCCTCTGGTCCCAGGCCCTTCCCCCATGCCGATCCCCTCCCCCTAGCCCGTCCTCGGCCCCCGCTTTCCCGACCCCTGGCCCCAGAGCTCGGATTCCTTTTATCTTCGTACGCGTGTCTCCCCATCGTGGCTTCAACAAAGCTCCAGGTTGGGCCCGAGAGAACATCATCCTTTCGCTGCTTGTCGTGTCTCTCGCCTCAACCTCGTGCAGGAGCCAGGGCATGCGTGCCACGTGTTTTCGTAGTCGGTGCCAGGAGAATCGCTCGTCCATGGCCTGTGGCCCATGGTGTGGGCCTTGGCCCACGGAGTCAGTTGCTCATGCACTGCCCAGCGCGCTCGTTTGTCTGGTTCGCGATTTGGGCCAGGGCACGCAACATCTTTTATCTAGTTGCCCCTGACTTGGGCCGTGGCTCTTTGTTTGGGTCTTGGCCCATGGTTTGGGTCGTGGCCAGTGGCCGCTGGAGTCTGTTGTCTGCGACCAGTGTCCCACGACATGCGCCGTGGCAACAGGAATCGATAGCCCGCGGCTTTGGGCCACTATCCACGGTCACAGCCCATGGCAGCGGTTTGGTTCCGTGGCCTGTGGCATTCGCCGTTGCACATGAAGTCCTTTGTAGCCCGTGGATTGAGGCTGACAGATGTGTTGTCTTTGGCCCACGGCTTGGGGCTTGTGGTCTTTGGCCGTGACCGAGGCCAACAGAATCGGGCGTGCGTGGCCAGCGTCCTGCGGGCGTGGCTCGGGCCGTGGCCATTGGAATCGGTTGTCCGTGCCCCGAGGCCCCCGGGGGCTGCTGAAGACGGTCGTCTCTTGCCCGCGGCCGCTGGCCAGGGTCGTGGCCAACGGGATCGGTTGCCTGTGGGCGGTGGCCCGTGGCAAGTTTCACAGGTCGCCACCATCTCGAGCATGTGCGCGCCAGGAAAAGAAAGGGGGTTGATATCGATGGCGTTCGCAGCGGCGAGGGCGGGGACCCCGAGGGTTTGGAGCCTTCCAGGACTTGAAATCTGACCCAAAGCGGCGCTCTCCCCCCAACGCCGACCGCAGCGTCCACGAGATGGTGGAAACCAACAGTTGTTTCGGCCAGCACCCACGCGCAGTCAAACGTTTAGTAATGATTGAGGGTCCTCTGCAGAGTGCAGCCGCCTAGAAGCACCAGTTTTCGTTTGAGGTGTGCTGCATATGGCTGCCCTTCTTCAGGTATTGATTATGATTGCAATTTTGTTCGACACCTTCTGGCACTACTTGACTCATTACGTGGAACGGAACACCTACCGGTACATCACTTCTTTGCTCGCTTGCCCTCACCCAGCTTCTTCATCCCGCCATCCTTGCTGGGTATTTGCAAGAAGAGTTTAGAAAGCTACAGGACCACAGTGGCAATGGCCAGTGGATGTAACATTAGGTGCGGAGCAGGCAGAAGGGAGGGGTCAGGGATGTGATGCGGGGAGGAGGGAAAGGGAGAAGGGGCGATGCATGTGCGGGTGTAGGGAAGGAAGGGAGGTGCGGAAGGGCAGGGGGGAAGGAAGCGGATTAAAGTTGGTTTAAGTGGAATCAGGCGGAATCATGTGGGATCTCAGATGGTAGCTTTCGAAACTTTAAATTTCCCCATCGGCAGACGATGACGATTGCTCTCTCATGCACGCAGGTCATGCTTTGGAACACCGATGTAGCAACGTATGATGCAGAGTGCACTTTGTGTTGCATTTGCATCGGCCACATCCAAGATGCATACCTATTGTCACGCCTCGTGCGTCGAATGGGCTGCGCTTCAAGCGCAGACAAAAGAACAGGGACAGCTCTCGAGGCTCAGCGACGCCAGTTTTACATGGGAGGGGAAAGGAGGATCTTCGTCCTCCACCCGCTCCAGGTTCGGCCACCCCCACCAAGGACGAGCCCAGGGCGACGAGGTGAACCATGAGCACAAGCAGTTGTACACGGTGCTGCTGCAGAGGATGGGCACCGAGGCTCCGCATTCCGCACGCCTGGCTCCCCCCTCCCCCTGTTCTCTGGCTGGCTCTTCCGTTCTCGATGCCAGTACCCTGACCACGATCACCCTGATGCCGCGCTGGATCTCGAAGACAGGAACGGCTCTCGAGAGTTGGAGCGAAATAGCGGGACAGACAGTGACACGTTACGTGTGATCACAGCTGGGGAGTGGAGGGGAAGACGAATGCCGAGTGAGCTTACGGAATTACACATGCGGAAATGAGCCCATGCTACCTAGCGTGCACCCCAAACAGTAAGTGATTGTACTGTGGAGGCGGAAGGGTGCAAGGTGGATTGTGAAAACCGTGTCGTGAGAGTTACCTTGTGTGAGCTATGGGAGCAGCAGCGGGCGGCACCGTGGCGAATCCTCGGCATCCCCCTCCACAGCACGCGATGCGGCAACGATGCGGCAACGGGCAGCCACGGACGGCAGTGTTGCGAACCCTCGGTGGACATCCACAGGCGGCCACAGGGTGCGGGCCGCAACGGGCGGCAATGTGGCGAACCCTTGGCGGACCGCCGCAGCAGCGGGCGGCCACGTGGCGAATCTCCAGCGGAACCCCGCGGGCGGCCACGGGCGGCAGCGCGGCGAACCCTCGGCGGACCCTTCCTCGGCGGGCCCTCGCGGGTGGCAACGGGCGGCCACGCGGCGAATCTTCGGCGGACCACCGCGGGCGGCAACGGGCGGCCATGGGCGACAGCGTGGCGAGCCCCCGCAGGCGGCCACGGGCGGCAACGCGGCGAATCCCTGGCGGACCCCCCACAGGCGGCCACGGGCGGCAACGGGCGGCAACGTGGCGAACCTTAGGCGAACCCATCCGTTTCCGTAGTGGCACAAGTCGGAAACCCTAAGTGTAAGCGCTGTTCGGGTGATGCTGAAAATCACTGGGCGAGCCAGGAGAGCAGCTTGAATCCTGAGAGGCGATTTCCGAACACGGTGTATTTGTTGTGCCTGATGAGCTCTGATATCTCATGGGTGCAGTGTCGGATGCGTCAGCCATTGCTCGGGGTGTTTGCTGAACCCTCGTGAAACGCGTGGGCGATTCTGGAGAAAGCCAGAGCGCTGTCTGTGGTCGCTTGGAGGGCGGGGGTTGGAACCGGACCTCCTGCCCCTCTGGATGGGGGGGGGTTCGAACCCCTCCATCCACCTTCCCCCTCCCGTGGTGTGGGGGGGGGGGGTCGAACCCTCCCGCCCCCTCCCCCTCCCTTACTTTTCCTCTCCTCTCTCCCTCTCGTCGGGCCGGCGCCGGTGCCACGGGCGGCGGGCGGCGGCGGCGGGGAGCGTCGACGAGGACGACAGCGACGACGCGACGAGGACGACGGCGACGACGACGACGACGACGCTCCGCCACCGTGCCTTGGTTTTGGGTCAGAGTCCTGGGCCTCGTCGGATGGCTCTCGGTCGGGGGCCTCTGAAGGGCATTTGGGATGCCTCCTGAGCGCCTCTTGGGCGTCTCTTGGGGCCTCTCTGAGGTGGTGGTGGTGGTGGAAGTGGGCTGTGGTGGTGGTGGTTGTGGCGGAGGCGGTGGTGGTGGTGTGGTGGTTGGTTGTGATGGTGGTGGTTGTTGTGGTGGTTGTGGAGGCAGGTTGTGGTGGTGGTGGTGGCGGTGGTGGTGGTGCGGTGGTTTCTGGTGATGGTGGTGGTAGTTGTGGTGGTGGTCGTGGTTTGTGGTGGTAGTGGTAGTGGTGATGGTGGTTTTTGGTGGTGGTGGTGGTGGTGGTAGTGGTGGTGGTGGTGGTCGTGGTTTGTGGTGGTGGTGGGTTGTGGTGGTGGTGGTGGCGGTGGTGTTGGTGGTTCTGGTGTGATCTGTCGTGGTGGTGTTGGTGGCGGTGGTGGTGGTGGCGGTGACTTGTGGAGGTGGTGTTGCTGGTGGTGGTAGTGGCGGTGGTGATGGTGATGTGGTGGTTTGTGGTGGTGGTGGTGGTGGTGGTGGTGGTGGTGGGTTGTGCTACTGGTAGTAGTGGTGGTGGTTGTGGCGGTGGTGGATGTGGTGGTGTGGTAGATTGTGGTGGTGGTGATTGTAGTGGTGGTGGGTTGATCTGGTGGTGGTGGTGAGCTGTTTTGGTGGTGGTGGTGGTGGTTGTGGTGGTGGTAGTTGTGTGGTGGATTGGTGGTGGTGGTGGTGGAGGATTGAGGTTGTTGTGGTGGTGGTCGTGGTGGTGGCGGTGGTAGTGGTGGCGTGGTGGTTTCTCGTGGTGGTTAAGTTGGTGGTGGGCTGTGGTGTTGGTGGTGGTGGTGCTGCTACTGCTGGTAGTGGTGCTGGTGGTGGTGGGTGGTGGGCGGTGGGTGGTGATAGTGATTGTGGTGGTGCTGGTGGTTGTGGTGGTGGTGGTGGTGTGGTGGTTTGTGGTGGTGGCGTTGGTGGTGGTGGTGGTGGTGGTGGTAGGTTGTGGTAATGGTGGTGGTGGTTGTTGCGGTGGTTGTGATGGTGGTGGTAATGGTGTGGTGGTTTGTGGTGGTGCTGGTGTCGGTTCTGGTGGGTTGTGGTGGGTTGTGGTGGGTTGTGGTGGGATGAGGTGGTGCTGGTGGTGGTAGTGGCGTTTTTGGTGGTGGTGGTGGTGTAGTGCTTTGTGGTGATGGTGGTGGTTGTGGTGGTGGTGGGTTGTTATGGTTGTGGTGGTGGTGGCGGTGGTTTGTGGTGGTGGTGGTGGTGGTGTGGTGGTTTGTGGTGGTGGTGGTATGGCCTTCGGCTCTTTCCGCCACCGCGTAGTAGGTGTAGGTCAGAGTTCTAATGGATGTTTTTGAGGTCTCGTCAGAAGGGTCTCGGGGGCGTCTGAGGAGCATGCGAGGGCTCGATATGGCGATTTGTGTGTGTGTGTGTGTTCCCTCTGCGGCCTCTGGGCCCTCTCTGGTCATCGTCGCTGTGTCCCCGCCGTCGGCGCTGCTGCCTGCCGCCAGCGCCCCCCCCCTTCCCTGGGCCCTCTCTGGTCATCATCGCTGCGTCCCGCCGTCGGCGCTGCTGGCGGCCACCAGCTCCGGCGCCGGCGCCGGGGGGGTGGAGGGGGTTTGGAGAACCCCACCCCCCCTGTGGGAGGGGGGGGTGGATTCGGGAGGGGGCGGGTCTTGGGGGGATGGGAGTCGCTCTGAGTTTGATCGACGGCGCCGAGTGTTGGGGGGGGGGGAGGCCCACCCCCCGGTTCGAAACTCGCCGCCAACTGTTCCCAAGGCAAGCGCCCGTGAAACGCGCTCTCTCATGAAAGGAGCGTGAGTTTGTCGAGAAGGCCGTGCAGCATCGTTCAATTGGGAAGCGCACGTATTTCTCAAGAGTACAGTTTGTTGGGCAGCCTAGGCTCTGGGGATGACATGATTGAATGTGGGGCCATGATAAGTGCCCCGATGCGCGCATCATCGGCGCGCAGTTGCCAGCGTTGCAGGGAATCTGTGAGACATGGGTTCGTACATGTGCGAACACCCGTTCGCAATGTCATGCACATCGCGCGTTGTCGCAGAGGGCCGTGTGTTGGTTCTAGAGCGTAGGATGGACCACTTTCAGAGAATATGTTTGCATTGGCCATCTTAGCCTGCACTTTACGTATGTGCTATTTCCCAGTATTCGCACCTTCTGCGCGTCCTTCGAAACATTAACGTTCAAAACAGTTGTCAGATAGGTCCGAAGCCTCCCGAAGCCCCCGCACCTGTGGCGCAGTGACCCGCTACCTGGCAGTATCAAGTGGGCATTACCCATTGCGATTTTGCGTAACATGGGCTCACGTATCATTTTGTGTCCTACGTTCAGGTGAATCGCAATTGGGTGTGTTGGATGACATGTTTCATCCTTTGCCGAACCACTCCCGGGGAAGATCCTGAACCAGACAGTGGCCACAGCAGATGGTCGCTCAGTCTAAAACAGTAGTGCGTTGAAGGTGATTGGCAGTCCTCGCAGTATCTTCGAATGTCTCCTTGTCATAATTTGCATACCTTGGTTGGTGACGCATGCTGCTCATGATTTGTCTACTGTGCAGTTCATGACGCTCGGCGAGCTGGCCCTTGTCATTTTCCTGTTCGAGAAGTATGGCGTCTTCGACTCAGTGGCGAGCGCCTGCTCCACAATGGGTGACATGAAGTTACCCAAGACAGGTATGGATTGGTTTCACATGGCCGAGTACGTGCATTTCTCTTTGTTTGGAGGCGGCATATGGCTGATGAATGCGCGTGTCAGCTGCGACCTTTTTTCCGCTCTCGAGAGATGTGGGCCACAATAGCCACTCAAGATCGCCGTCCAGGGATGTTTCGGGATGTTCTGGGAGCGACCAGACCCCCTCACAAGTAGAGTGTGAGGCGAGCCTGAGTGTGTGAGTGGTCTGTGTGAGTGAGTGCGCGAGTGAGTCTGAGAGTTAGTAAGTCGAAGTATGAGTGACTCTCAGTGCGTCTGCTGTACAAGGCTGAGTGTGTGAAGCGAACATGAGTGTGAGTGTATCTGAGTCAGGTTGCACCTGAGTGTATTATACTGCGTGTGATTGAGCCCGAGTGTTGGGTCTGGACATGAATGAGTGAGTGTGAGGAGGAGGAAGAGGGCTGAACGGAGCCAGAGGCATAAGACGAAAAACAAGAAACCCAGACTTCGGATGTGAGGGGACATCATATCGTCGGGTATCTGGGAGGAGGCCCTCACGGCTTCCAGAGCACCCATCGCGAGGCCCAGGGTGCCCCGGGGGCTCCAAAGTGGAGCGGAGAGTTGGGGACACCCTGGGCCAAGAACACTCTGAGCAACCCCCGAGCGGTGCCTCCCGAGCGGTGGTGGTGGCGAATCGCTCTTCGGGACAGGTCTGCCCCGCCCCACCCCCGCCAATGGCAATGGCCTCTCCGAGGCACCCCCTCCTGCGCTCTGTAGGAAGGGAGGCCTTTCACGGAGCGGCCTCCAGCGCATGGGCCACTGGCAGCCAGCACAGCGACAACACCACGATATTCAACAGTGCAGCGCTGAACCGCACGCCTGGACTCGGCATCACGGCTCCCTCATTCACGCCTGCGGGGCAAGACGTTCAGTAGTTGCACGACGATGAGCGGCAGGACGGAAGGAACTCACGGAGTCCTGATGTATGGGCTACTATTGAAGAATTGTTGGCTCGCCACAGCCCAAATACTATTTGTGATGCTCCCAGCTTGGAACGAAGACATGCGGGCATATACTCTCAGACGGGCCCGTGCTCCCGGTCGCGGGCCCCGACACACACACACGCGCACACACGCACACACACGCACCCACACACACACGCGCAGACGCACACACAAGCACACACACACACACACGCACGCACGCACGCACTCATGCACGTACGCACTTACGCACACACACGTACACACGCACACACGCACACACGCGTAACACACAGATGCACACGCACACGCACACGCACACGCACACACACATACACGTACACACATACACGCACACACACACACGCACACACACACACACACGCGCGACATACACTCATACACACACGCACGCACGCACGCACGCACTCACGCACACGCGCACGCAAACACACACGCTCACACGCCCACATGTACACACGCACACACGCACACGCACACGCGCACGCCAACGGACACGCACACACACACACACACACGGACATACACACACACACACCTACACACACCGACACACACACATGCGCACGCACGCACGCACGCGCGCGCACACACACACACACTTACACACACGCGCACGCACACGCACACGCACACGCACACGCACACGCACACGCACACGCACACGCACACGCACACGCACACGCAAACGCTCACGCACACGCACACGCGCACGCACACGCAGACGCACACGCACACAGTCACATACGCACACACGCACACACGCACACACACGCACACACGCACACACGCACACACACACGCACACACATACGCACACACACGCACACACGCACGCACGCACGCACACTTACACGCACACGCACACACGCACACACATATACACACACGCGCGCACACAGGCCCACACACACAGTCACATCAGCTCCGACTCCTGCCCCGACCCAACGACCGCTCACAAACGACAGGCACCTTCTGCAACGCTGGCTTCGACGCCAGCTCTGTCTCGCTCCGTAGTTTTGCTCGTTACCTCCTAGATCCCATCGTCGCCGGCTCCGACGCGGGCCCCGTCTTCGTTTCGACTGCGGCCCATGCGCCTCGTACTGCACGCTGGCTCCGTGGGATGTTGAGGCCTTCCGCGCGAGGGCGCGACCCCTGGGCGCGAAATCGCGGACACCAGCAAATCGACACCCAGCAGCACGACGGTTCACAGCCGTACAATTGTGTGCAACAAGCAGATTACAGCTCTCCGACGCTGACCATCACGACGCCTGGCAGAATCTGCGACTCCGACGTCCACCCGTGCATAGCACGAAGGGCGGCGCTCGCGATTCTGACACGTACCCGTGCGCAGCATATGATGGACACCAGTGGCAAGACCCGCAGCAGCGCGATGGTCTGCAGCATTGCGCCGTCTATGAGCAGCATCGCAGACCCTCAGCCCGGTGATGAGAAACACCGGGGTTTTGACGTGAGTCGGGCATGCCCCTCTGCGGGATGAAGATTGAAAGATCGGGGCATGCCATGTTCGAAATATGTAAACAACTATTATGGGAATCGTTTTTTGGATACTGGCTAGGCGAACGTACGATGCACGAGGTTGGAAAACACAATGCGCCGCGTGGCGCCACCATTATTTGTTTCGCCACGCTTGGTGGCGACAGCGGGAGTGATCGCGTTTTAGCAAAGGCGTGCGTTTATGGCGACGTGGTTTGTGAAACGTGCGCAATGAGGGCTGACCGCGTGCTATCATCGTGGACTGGTTGGCGCGGCGCTGCGATTGGATTTGCGCGCGGCGCGAGCAATTCGACGAGTACCCTCTCGGGAAGCCGACAGAGGCCCTGCAGATGTGGATCCTTGCTTTTTTTCCATCTTGTTACGCTAATCCACAAAATGCGCCCGATCAAGATTTGTGGCCGCTGGCGTTCAAGTTCTCGCTGCAAAACTCCAGTCGCCCCCCACTTTTCCCCCTCCGCCCCCGCGCGCCATCCTTGTCCATCCTCCTTGCCCTACTCCCGCTCTATTCGGGTGGGTGGCGCGCATAGACCTGTGCTTCCCACGTTCGGCCACTGGGTTTCTTTCGGCAATCACGCGAGGTATTTTGCGCGAGGGGCAATCTTGACCGGGCAAGGCGCAACCCCTTTGATGCCATCGTTGGGTAGATATAAGTGGGGTAGGAGTTGAGATGGAGCACGACAGGGGTTGGGTGGAGGTTGTCCGTGAGTCTTGGTGATTGCAAATTGTCGCAGGGTAAGGTTACAGGCGGTTCCGATATAGGGCAGAATTTAAGTCGGCGCAGAAATATAATATAGACAATGGCCAGTCCTTTTTTTTACGTATATATGTATATGAAAAGAGGAGGTTTGCATGTGCCGTTGTAGCGGGGTAGACTAGGGGAGTGCGCCAGTGGATCTCCCTGAATACACTAAAGGGGGGGTCCAGAACCCTCCCCCCCTTTCCCCCCTTCAGCGGGGGGGGGGTCCGGACCTCTCCCCCCCCCCCCTTCCCCCCCTTAAGGGAGGGGGGGGGGGGGTCCCGACCCCCCCCCCCCCTTCCTTGAAAGAGGCGGGGGGGGGGTCCGGACACCCCTCCCCTCCCCCCTTGGAGCTGGAAAGGGGGGGGGGGGGGGTCGGGCCCGCCCCCCTCGTGTAGGGAATGCGGAGTTGGGAGTAGGGAGTGGTGAGTAGTGCGTAGTGAGTTAGTACGTTGTGATTAGTGAGTGTTGGGTAGTGAGTTGTGGGTAGCGAGTGTCAGTTGAGCGGAAGAGTGGGACAAATCGGAACCAGAGATTCTGGGAGAGTTCCAGAGAAAAATAGAACGCCGATTTGTGGAGCGTAGCGCGCGCATTCGAAAAAGTTCCCGAAGAGTGTTCGCGGGCTTGAGGAGCCCAAGTAACACATGGGCGCTCAATTAAACTATTGAGGGCGGGCAACAAATCTAGTGTGCACGAGCATTGTGAGCGGGTGTGCGGCTTGCACGGGAGGCGCAGTAGGTTTGCGTTTCAGGGACTTGGGCGCTGGCCAATGCGCTGATGGGGGGCCCGAGAATGCGTCGCACATATTACGCCTGTGGCGCCATGGAGGCCGCATTTGCGGTTGCAGTTGGGCGGGCGCCCCGCCGCGCGCACCGTGGCGACAGCTCTCTTGGGCGCCCGCCCGCCGCCGTGGACGTAGTGGACCCAGCTAGTCTCTCGGTCGGCGCGCGGCGGGTCGGCAGCCGCGACGCCGGCGGCCTGAAGATGCTTCGAAAGTGTTTCTCCCCGAGCCCGGGGCTATATTACGTTTTCGGTGGCGCGCGCAGCTCGGAGAAAAATCGCCTTGTCCGTCGGCGGCCAGTTGGCTGTCGTCGCGCAGAAGTACCGGCGGATGGCGCGGTCCACGCTCAGCGCAGAGAGCGTGTCCATGAGCGTGGACTCGTCGAGGGGCAGGAGGAAGGACCTCGCGGTCGGGACCATCGCGGCCCGCGATGTCCACGGCCCCCACCCTGGGCGCGCGAGGACCTGCTGGGCGCCGCCGCAGCGCGATTTCAGAGGATCTCGGAACCAGAAATCCGGGCGCGCCAAATTTCGCAAAGATTTTCAGAGAAGTTCGGACGCGAGAATTTGGCGCGCCCCGGTTTCTGGTTTTGTGAATCTCTGAAAAGCGGTTCCTTAGGTTTTACCGGGTCTCCAGGCGTCCTACTGTCAGCCAGAGACGAGCGACTGGCTGGCGCCGCGCCCGATGCTTCCGGAGTTGCGAACTCGGTATTCGGTTCCCTGGGGCCCGCGGGCCCCTGGGCCAATTGCGAGGTTGCCGAGGCCCCCAGGCGGTTGCGCGCGATTGTCTCGGAAACCGGAGTTGGGCATCCATGGTGGACGCCCGCGCGCACGCGCCAGGTGTCCGCGAGATTGTTCGGTGGCGGATTTTGCATGGCGCGGGGATTTTCAACAGACTTTCCGGGGTGTTCTCTACGGTTATTTCGGCGCGCTTCGGGAACCTTCGGGCGGCGCGGGGAAGTCGCCTGGCCGCGCGCGTGATTTGTTTCCAATGCTTTCTTGGGCATTATCGCGGCGTTGCTTGGCCGAAGAGGTC